TCTGTGTGATGTGTATATATATGTATATTATGTAAAATTGCATAATATATCTTGCATTCTCTATAAAACTTTTTATTTTTATCTATTATTAAATCATGATAATATCAAATTCATTGTAGATAATTAATCGACTGCAACATTAATTAAGCATTCAGTTTTTATATATTATATATTTTTTCATGCTGTTTAATTCTACCTAATATTTTATAAAAATATATATTGATAATGTACGTGTACGACATTCAGTCGGACAGTAAATAATCAAATATTTTTTTAATAGACATATATATGCTATCTATTCCATAATATCTTTTTAAATTATTATTCGATTTTACAAATAATAAAAAATATCTAAAAAAATACACCATTTAAATAATTGGGTATACAATACAATGATTTGTCAATGTACAGACATAAATAAATTATTTTATAATTTGAACAAATATCATATAATAAGCTCCGTTATGGTTTTTCTATTATTAATTGTCAAATGGTTATAATGTTCTATAGAAGATATAGAGAAAGACACGCAATAATAATTACATTATAAAAAATCGGATGAAAAACTTCATCATTTTCCAGGTAGCAAAAGTAATCATTTTGAAGTCATTTTGATGTAATTTGACATTATTTAATATGTCAATATAAATAATTCGCATTATATTAATTGACATTATCTAATATAACATGATTATATATTTTTTAAATTGCTTTGCGTCTTTTTTTTCTTTTATAGAATAATTATTACAGGTTTATGCGTGTAATGACACTTTCTGTACAACTTCTATACACTTCTGTTAAAAAAGACTCATACCAATTAAAAAAATATATGGTCGTCATATTAAATAATGTCAATTACAATAGTATAATGCGAATTATTTTTACATTGACATATTAAGTATACTTTCATTAAACGATTAAACCAGAGGAAGTTTTGCTTTTTTCGTCTTGATCAGTCAGTGAAACAATTTGAAGCTCGTTAATTCTTTAACATCCACAATTTGAACCATACATAATGCACTTATAAAAAAATACATATAATACATATTATATAATGAACTCTCTACAAAATATGCATCTTTTGTATGTAACAATTTTTCATACAATGCATAATTTATAAGTTATTCAAGGTGTGCAAATTAGATGCTTCACACCTTAATTATTAAGTTAATTAAGGTTTTAACTTATTAATTAATATTAATTTTTATTTTAAAAAATTTAATTATGACACAAACGCAATAAAATTTTGATTTTAAGTTTTTATTACTGACAGTATTTTTATATCTTTTCATTACAATTGCTATAATTACATTATAGTGTTTAAATTAGAAACTATATTTAGCAAAAATCCTTTAAATTTTTCTATAAATATAAAATTATGTAAAATGTATATATAAAGATAATACATATAATGTACTTATTTTA